AACACACTAAAGGAACAGGTGTGTGAAGGAAGTGGTGCCATTTTGACAGTGCTATTTTTCTGACTGTAACTGCTTTCTAATCCAAACCCCTAAAGGGGAGTCTTCCCATTTACTTCCATGAGTTTTGAATCAGGCTATAAGACCAGAAAAAATTACCCCCCGTGGACCCGGAAAACATCTGATGGATACCTTGCAATAAAAACTCTAAGGAAAGCTAGAGTCAGACTGTGACTGCACAGGAACTGAGCGAAATTTCCCAGGCAAGCACAAACTTGTTGCTGTGTATTTTGGTAATTTAGAGAAAACCTGAAGTCAGGTCTTTAAATCCAGCTAGATGTTGCCATTCAAGTGGTCAACACAGTAATACCATACGAAATCAACATACTATTGAATGACAGCATCCTTAATCAACAGCATGTCTGGTGTAATAACTTATGTAGGGACCAGCAGACTTCTGCGGAAGTGGCTGGTTAACATGCTGCTGGAAACTAATCTTGGGCCTTTTCCAGCCAGCTCAGCCCAGAGTGGATTGTGAGAGGCAGTCACTCACAAAGCCCCACTAGAGGGATTTGTTCTGGCTGGGTGGTGCCCAGAAGTTTAATATTGTTTCTGGTCCAGCCTGGTAGCATCATTAAAGCTCAGTCTAGGAGCCTGTCTGGGAACCGGGGGAAAGGGACAGCAATGCCGGGGGCAAGGTGAGGGTGGAGGCGGGGCACCGAAGGAAGCAGGGATGAGACCAGGAGAATATAAGTGGGCACTGGAAAAAGGAGTAGGAAAGAAGGGGGTATAGGGCGGCGAAGAACACAGGGACAGCAAAGGGCCTTTGGGCCCACAGGAGAGGCAGTGCCAGGGTTGGAGGAAGGGGGTTCAGTGCTGTTCAGGGGGGCAGTGTCAGGGCTGCAGAAAGGGGGGGGAAGTGCCGTGCAAGGGAATAGTGCCAGGGCTGGAGAAAGGGGGGGAAGCGCCGTGCAAGGGAATAGTGCCAGGGCTGGAGAAAGGGGGGGAAGCGCCGTGCAAGGGAATAGTGCCAGGGCAGAAGGAAGGGAAGCAGTGGCTTGCGGGGGGGGACAGGGGAAGTGCTATGCGCGGCGGGGGGCGGGGGATGACAGTTCCAGGGCAGGATGAAGGGAGGAAGTGCCATGCATGGGGGGGGGCAGTGCCAGGCTGAAGGAAGAGAGGCAGTGCCATGTGGGGGGGCAGTGCCAGGCTGAAGGAAGGGGGGCAGTGCCGTGCGGGGGGCAGTGCCGGGGCAGGAGAAAAGAGG